CTTCCTGGCTCTTGGCCTGCTTGATTGAGAAGATGCTGATACCATTATGGTTTATAGAAGGAAGAGCTGATTTGAGAAGCAAGGATTAATGTTATTAGTTTGATTACATCAGTTAATTCCTCAGAAATGAGGGTTTGGATCTCAGGAGATGTGGATTGGTTTTGAAGACTTTGTAGCTGTCGGAATGAAGATGGTGGTGAAAATTGTTAAACATGTAGGAAGCTCTAGGGAGAATATAGAAAATGACAATAAAAAGTGAAGGTTTGCATTCTGAGAAATTTCTACCATGTAGACAAAGAAGATAGCCCACTTTGGTGGCACCAGATTTCATTTTCTTAGATCCCAGGAAAACATGTTTTCCTTGAATCAGCAATGGGCAGTTTCCAAGTCACAGATCTTGTTTGGTACTACTGACTATTGGTGCACGCTTGGCAGGTTTACTGAACCTTCTGAGGTTCACATTCAGTTATCAATGATTTTTCTAATGACTAAATAACATTGAAATTTTTCCATTTATGAGTCTTGGGGGTGTAATTGAATGACTTTTTTGGAATTGTTTTGGACAACTTATTACACTAGTGTTTTCTTCATAATCTAGAAAGAAATGTTGTATTGCCTTCACAATAATGTGCTTGTATACTTGTATGTGTGTGTGTGTGTGTGTGTGTGTGTGTGTGTATGTATGTATATACATATGGATGTATAGAAGAGTAAACATAAAGCAAAATTAGGACTTTGCAATATCATTAGTATATTATAGCATATACATCTATTATGCCGATTTGAATTTTCTTTTTATTATAGTAGAGTTGAGATTTGTTAATGGAATTGATTCTGAGGAATATGTGTTTATCCCTTTCTTTCTTAGAAAACATTTATTCATTTACTACTATGTGTATTGTATACGTAGCAGTGAACAGGATAGGCAAAGGCTTTACCTTCGTAGAGTTTTCTACACTGTAGCAGTACATACAGACCATAACAAAATAAACAACAGAACAAGAAATACATTATCAATTCCTGCATGAAGAAAACGCATTGAATGCTGAGAGTGAGAATACTTGAGGGTTACTTTAGTTCAGCCACCTTAGAAAGGCTAGTCGGAGAAGCATTCTTTATACACACTATCTACCTTCTTCTGCTTGGCTGCCAGGATGATCCTAAACTTCACCTACATTGATGTTCAACCTCTGCTTGAACATTGCTGTACATAGTTAGAATCACTGCGAACTTTTTGTCATCTACTGCATGGCCCAACTACTGGCTCACCCATCCTTGAGCAAAGTGACTAGCCCTGCCTACAGATTTTTTTTCTGGCAAAAAATTCGCCACTTGTTAATGGCCTGCAATATTAGCAGAAAACCCTAAGAAATAAGGAAAAACTAACTCTTCAAGATATATAATTCAATGAAGAGAACCTAAAGGTATTAAAATACTCAAATAGTTAAGGAACTATTGGGCTGGGGATGTGGCTCAAGCGGTAGCACGCTCGCCTGGCATGCGTGCGGCCCGGGTTCGATCCTCAGCACCACATACTAACAAAGATGTTGTGTCCGCCGAGAACTAAAAAACAAATATTAAAAATTCTTTCTCTCTCTCTCTCCTCTCTCACTCTCTCTTAAAAAAAAAAAAGATTCCCACAAGATGTGATCCTCTCCATTCTGGACTTCTCAGCCTTCATAAAAATCAAATAAATTTCTTAAAAAAAAAAAAAAACTATTATGTCCATAAAAACAAGCATGAACTTTACAAGATGAAAAAGAATATAGAATGCATTAAAAAAAAATTAAGGATGGGAAATGCAACTAAAAACTTTTAGAAAATTTACCTTTCTTTGATGGTGCAGATGGAAGGCAGATCCTCTAAATTAGAATAGGAACTGAGTAGGCCTGAAGCTAAATGAAATGTATTTTAAGTAATAGATGGATTGAGCAAAAAGGAGGGGGAGATTAGCAACAGGTTGGTTGCATGGGAAGAATACACTTCTTAATTCCCCACTCTTTTGAAAAACAGCAGTGACAGAAATTTTAGGGGAAAATGAAATATTTCAAACTAGAAAAAAAGTAAGCATGTTTCAAATATGAAGCACTCTAGGTTGTGCCATGATTTTGAGCAATTACTGGGAGTAGGACAAAGGGAATTCTACCTTGCTTATGGGTGAAGCCTTTTAAGAAATAAATGAGAAAAATCTAATCACAGCATAAAACTTTGCTATTCACTGAACTGTATTTAAATACTAGTCATACTAATGTACATATTGGTTTTCAGCTTTCAGAGTGGATCTTTAGTTAAAGCATGGAAGAAATAATTATGATTACAGAATAGAATGCAAATGTTAGCAACCTTGACAATATACAAAGGCAATTAAAAATTTGGGAGGCAGAGGAGAAAAGCAATGTACATAAAAGTGGCAGTGGTGCTACCATCCTCATAAATCAGCAAGTGGAGAATTCTTCCTGTGATTAACAGAATAAAATACAGGTTTTAATATTAAAGTAACCAAGATAACCAACAAGTAGGTTAAAATGGTGAGATGGCTTTGTTGAGAGAGGAGAAAGGCTGGAAATAGTCAGGAGTCAACAGAAAGTGCCTCAGGTCAACAAGCAAAGAAATACTAAGGAAAACTTATGAGAAAAGTGTTGTTAACTACCAGAATAACTAAATATAAACACATGTGGAAAGTTTTATGTCCAGTTTGGCAAACTGAGAAATGAGAAAAATGAAGCAGGAATTTATTGATTGATTGTCATGGTGCCCTTTTGAATTGTTTGATTTTTAAAATTATATGCATATATTGCTTTGATAATGCTTTTTCTAACTTTTTTTTTTAATTTAGAGATTTATAGTTGTATGTAATAGTTGGGTTCATCCCAACAAACTCATACACACCTGGAAATTAATATCAGTTCATGATCTCCCTCCTTTTCCTTCCCAACCTCCTTTCCCTCTCCCATTGTCCTTCCTATACTCTACTTGATTTCCTTTTGCTCCTCTATTAATTTATATTTGATTAGTTCTTTGTATTATCCTGTCCCTCCCTTCCCCTTTCCTTTATTTTAATCTAGCTTTCACATTTAAGAGAAAATATTCAATTTTGACTTTCTGAGTTTGGCTTATTTTGCTTAGTATGATATTCTCCATTTCTATCCGTTTACTGGCAAATGCTATAATTTTATTCTTTTCTGAATGAAGTGGCTGAGCAGAACTCCATTTTGTGTGTGCATGTGTGTGTGTGTATCATAGTTTCATAATTCATTCATCTATTGACAGGTATCCATGTTGATTCCATAATTTAGCTATTGTGGATTGTGCTGTTATAAACATTGAGGTGACTATCACTGTAGTGTGCCAATTTTAGCTCTTCTGGGAAAATACCAAACAGTGGGATAGCTGGGTCATTTGGTGGTTTTACCCCTATTCATTTGAGGAATCTCCATACTGCTCTCCAGATGTTTGTACTATCTGCAGTCTTACCAACAGTGTACAAGTGTACTTTTTCTCACACAACCTCATCAGCATTTATTGTTGTTCATATTCTTGATCATTGCCATGCTGACTGGAGTGAGACGAAATCTTAGTGTGGTTTTCATTTGCACTTCCCTTATTCCTAAAAATGGTGAACATTTTTCCATATTTTTGTTGGCTGTTTGTGTTTCTTTTGAGAATGTTCTATATAATTCTTTTGCCCATTTATTGTTTGGGTTATTTATGTTTTTAGTGTTAAGTTTTTTGAGTTCTTTGAATATTCTAGATATCAATTTCCTATTGGAAGAGTAGCTAACCAAGATTTTCTCCCATTTTATAGGCTTTCTCTTCACACTCTTAATCATATCCTTTGCTGTACAGAAGCTTTTTAGTTTGATGGCATCCCATCTATTGATTCTTGGTTTTACTTCTTGTGCTTTGGGGAAGTCAGTTAAGGAAGTCAGTACTAGCACCTGTATGATGGAGTGTTGACCCTCTTTTGTCTTCTAGCATTTGCCATTTCTTTTTTTTTTTTTTTTTTTGAGATCAGCAAGAGTTATTTTAATTTTCTATTAAACATTCTTTCAAAAGCATTATATTTATCCCGTATCTTAGATGTAAGAAATAACATTAGAATTAGAAAAACTAGGAAGATAAATACAGATAATTAACCAAATGTGAAAAAGAAAAAATATAATAAAAAGCTGAGAGCTTTATAAACTTAAATGATTATGATAATAATTTGAAAACTATG